GTGCAGCACACCAACATGGCACAAGTATACATATGTAGCAAACCTTCACATTATGCACATGTACCCTAGAACTTAAAGTATAATTAAAAATAAATAAATAAATAAAAATAAAAATAAAAATAAAAAAAGAGTTTTTTATGCACTACAGTTACAGTGTTATAATACTCTGTGTTTTTCTGTGTACTTACTATTACCAGGGATTGTTGTACCTTCAGGTGATTTCTTATTTCTCAATAACATCCTTTTCTTTCTGATTGAAGTTCTCCCTTTAGCATTTCTTTTAAGACAGACCTGATTCCTCTATCATATTTGCAGGATATTTTCACTGGATATACTCTTCTAGGATAAAATATTTTTTTCCTTCAGCATCTGCAATACCTTATGCCATGCCACTCACTCCTGGCCTATAAGGTTTTCACTGAAAAGTCTGCTGCCAGACATATTGGATGGAGCTCCTTATATGTTGTTTCTTTTCTCTAGCTGCTTTAGGATCCTTTCTTTATCTTTAACCTTTGGGAGTTTGATTACTAAATGCCTTGAGGTAATGTTCTTTAGGTTAAATCTTCTTGGTGTTCTAGGAGTATTGAATTTTAACTGATATAAGCATGGTTAAGAGAGTAATCCATAAGAAGTGCTGCTCTTCCAGAATTTTAGTTATAATCATCAGTTAGGATTGGATATCTGTGAAAAAACAGAGGTCTTTAGCTGGGGGCTTTATAAAAGCAGGAAAAAAGCATTATAATTAATGACAGGTGTACTCAGATGCTAGCATGAGTACTGAAATGAGCTACGACTATGTTTTCTAAAAGTCAAAGAATATGCAGAAACTACTTAGTATAAGCAAATTTAATATTTACATTTTGCTACATGCAGGCAAGTTCCAAGAATCTTGCTATTGGGTGGAGCTTAATTGAAAAATTTATTTTAATAGCATTATTAATAATCTGAAACAATTATTTGTGAAATCATTAAGCTCCAGAGGTGTAACTCAAATATTCAAGTATTGTCTCTGTTTTTTGAGGGGGGAAATTATATCTTGTAATAATGTTAATGAGTCTAGTGATTCACAAAGTAATGAAAATGTCATGCATGTTATCTACACTGAACTTCTAATATAACTATAGAACTCCTAGCTATATCACTAGACAAAATGTCTCTGTTTCATCTTAAGCTTTTCTTCCTGTATTATGCACAATCTACAGATTCTGTTCCACAAACTTCATCTGGATATTACTTGTTTGTATCAGAACTAATTGTTCTTAGTGTTTTCTCAAGCATGAGTGCAAAGTTCTATCTAAGTACATTCTACATTTCTATTTTCCATATTTCATGTTAATATTGTTTTCAAAATGCTAATTTTATTCAGTTGAAGATTTTTTTTCTGTGTTATTGGTTCTTTCTCCCCATACCATACACTCAATTATAAAGATTAGCTTCCTATTAGAAATCCAGATTTAATACAGATTTCCCTCATTATGCAGATGTGTGAACACCTGCTTCCTCTAAGAACTATTAACCAGCTTCACAACTGCACAGCTCAGAGGATTTCTAAATATAATTACCCAACATATGGAACTATGACCAGAGGTCATAAGCTTAAATTGAATGTCTACAACCAAAAAACAGATAGTTTGGACAATGCATAGGAAATGAAAGACAGTTGGTACCACAGAGGTAGGAATTAGTGGAAAGAGTTCTTGATTTAATTAGTACTTAAAGTGTCCATGGATCCCTGGAAGGAGAGAGAAATTCTGCTGAATTTATGATAAAAACCAAAGAATGAGTACTCTTAGGTAGCCCAGTGTACAAATTTAAAGCAAATACCTACCTCATGATTAAAGGTAATACAATTTACACTTGAAGGTCAGTTATAATAAAGAGAGACAGAGAGATGCACGAGTCAGATCCAAAACCTCAATGGATTGTCCAGCAAGTTACAAATATGCATAACTCCGGAGATGATGGGAAATAGCCACTTGATAGTGTTTTTATTTGGACATTGTATCTTTCATATTTTGTCGGCCAAAACCCAGAAGGCCCCAAGGGGAGTGAAGCAATAACCACTTAAAAGTGGATCTCTAAAAGAGGGACAAAACATAAAAGCAAAGGAACTCAGTTCTTCCAATAGTTCAGAGCCCCTGGAACAAGGTGGGGGAAAATATGTTTCCTCTCTTTTTATATATTTTTGAGGCTTCCCAAGGAGACGGTTATGGCTTTTCTATCAAGTTTTTCCATCTTTTTATCAAAGATAAAATTTTATCCTATTTAGTCAGACTTCTTAAAATATGGAATTGCTGAACCGGAAAAGGTGAGAATAAATGTTCAAACTGAATATCCTTTATACAGATAAGAAGCCAAAGTCCCATAAATAAATTATTGTGAAAGCAATGTAGGTGCTTAGAAATAGACTTGAAACCAGATTGTGGATTTAATGATCTCAAAGGTCTATTCTGCCATCTCTCTCTAGGCCCTGTCTCAGCAAGTCTTTAGAACCCAAACCCAGTAAAAACTATGCACCAACCATGTCTCATTGACAGGTGTAAAACTTTAACAACTGTCGACTATTTCAACCATGCTAATCCTCAACCATTCCAGCTTCATGACATTCACGCTGATGGGCACACCTGGCTTAGAGTCACAGCACTTGTGGCTATCTGTTCCTTTCTGCTCCATGTTTTTGGCTATCCTCATTGGCAATGGTTCTATCCTTTTTCTCTTGGCCACAGAGCCCACACTTCATTCACAAATGTACCTGCTTCTGGCCCTACTGATGGTGGCTGACCTCATATCCACTCTGGCTGTGGTGCCTAAACTCCTCTGCCTCTTCTGGTTCAATAATCAAGACATAGCTGCCAATGCTTGTTTCACTCAGATGTTTTTCATCCATGGATCATCCGTGGTACGATCAGCCCTCCTTGTTTTCATGGTTTTTGACTACTTTGTGGCCATATGTGAGCCCTTACGCTACAACATAATTCTGAGCCATTCTTTAGTTGGACGCCTGGGACTGCTGGCTCTTGCCAAGGAGGTGATCCTTATCCTACCCATGCCTCTTCTACTTCAAAGATTAACCTTCTGCCACGCGGCCATTCCTCATACCTACTGTGATCACATGGCTATGGTGAAGATGGCCTGTAACCACAACAGGCCCCATCTTATCTATGGGTTCTTCGTGATCCTGCTTGTGGTGGGACTTGATCTGCTGCTCATTGGCTTCTCTTATGCCCTCATCCTCCAGGCTGTGGTACACCTCAGCTCTTGAGATGCTACCTGCAAAGCCCTCAACACCTGCTCAGCACACCTCTTTTTCATCCTTGTCACTTATGTGCCTGCACTCTTTTCTTCTATTACCCACCCCATTGGTCATGATATCTCACCTCATACCCATATTCTCCTTGCCAATCTCTACCTTCTCCTGCCCTCAATGCTCAACCCCATCATCTATGGTATAAAGATGAAGGAAATACGAGTCAAATGCCTGTGCAGAGGAATTGCCTAGACTATGGGTCCCAGCAATAAACCTGTGAGTAAGTGAACAATAAGGACAACTGATAATGCTTTTGCCCAACCATTCAGTACCCAGTTGTATCTCCACATGAGCTGTGGGAAAAATAAACCATGGATAAGTGATTTTCTTTTTCTTTTTTGTGGGGGGTGGTTGGTGGAGTTTACAAGAAGGACCAATATGTTTGTACTTTCATTGAGTTATGGACTACAAAAGGGAGTGCCTAATCTATCTCTTTCTATGCCTATTTACCAGGGACACTCTGATGGCATGGGTCTCCTGATGACATTCACATCTGTGTTTTGTTCATGTTCATCAATTACATACAATATTGCTCTGCAATGATCCAAGGTCATGTTTCCTTTTCTTGGTGGAGACTTTATATTTGCTTCAGTCTTCTTTATATTTTCTATTTCTCAAATTATCTGTGTCTATTTCTAACTAGTATCTTTTTGCTGAAAGGAATGCAGTACTTACTATCTTAGTACAACACCTTGACATGTGATAACTCTTCAGGCAATTGACCTTTTCATCAAGAATACTTTAAATGAAATAGTAATGTGGTATGTTCACAGTACTGACAGGATGATTGTGATGATATGTATGCGATGACAAAAATGAAGGGATTTGAGGATGACATACATAGAGTGAATTCAGGGACTGCGGAGATACATATTTCAAAAAGTTTTATTGCAAAGGAAAACATGTATTTATATATCTAAATCAAAAGATTGCCATGACCAGGAACTTCATCTTTAAAAAACACATGTGAACATGAAGCCACCTGTTCTTGAAGTGATATTCCACAGTGACTCAGATCATGTACAAAGACTAACTTATATTGTTTTGGTGAAGCATTGCTTTGTTGACATGTTTTGAATCATTGTAATGAGTGAAATTTCTATCTAATCATTTAAATATACAGTTATCATTGGATCAATTGTACAACATAATAAGGCAAATACAAGATTGGGTATTTAAGCAGATAAAAGTTAAAATTAACAAATGTTAAATTGAAACTGCAGAATATAGAAACTACTGAAAATTAGTATAATCACAGCTTTAGCACAATTTAAACATATGTGATTATTGAGTTTAGAATCAGGAGAAATAATCCAGTATCTCTAAACTCCTTTCAAATCTAAATCACTGTGTTTGAGAACCTTAAAAAACAATGACATAGAGAATAAGTGTAATGTATGTACTCTTTATCCCTAGCCATGACTTCTAACAAATTCTTATCTCCTCTCTACACTGGTGAGCTAAACAGTCTATAAATTCTAAGAACATCTTTAATTCCTGTGATCTAGAACAGGAATTCCTAGTCTAGGAAACTAGTTTCACCTAGTCTTGCCTAGTCTTTAGGTAGGAAGATGACTCCAAGCAGGAAAAACATCATTTTATCTGTATAAGAGAGTAACAAAATTCTATCCAGCCAGTCCTGTTGTTAATTCTCTTAGATAAGAAATGGTCCAATTTACTCTTAACTATGAAAGTGTTTTTATGGAGACTGTGTTGGGAAAAGTTGGCATAGAAGGAGGAAAAGAGGTAAAGTCAGTGATATGGTTGGGTTGTGTCCCCACCCAAATCTCATGTCTAATTGTAATTCCCAATATTGGGGAAGAGACCTAGTGGGAGGTGACTGGATCATTTCAGCAGATTTCCTCTTTACTGTTCTTGTGATGGAGTTCTCACAAGATCTGATTGTTTGAGAGTGTGTAGCACTTCCCACTTCACTCTGTCTCTCACTCCTGCTCTGCCATGGTAAGACGCACTTGCTTTCCTTTCGCCTTCTGCCATGATTGCAAGTTTTGTGAGGCCTCCTAGCCATTCTTTCTGTACAGCCTGCAGAACCATGAGCCAATTAAACCTCTTTTCTTCATAAATTACCCAGTCTCAGATAGTTATTTATAGCAGCGTAGGAATGTAATAATATAGTAGATCATTATTTTATGTTAGACTTTTTGTGCCTTTTTGTTCTTCATAAGCCAGATCTCTCACTGAAGATTAGAGCATGAAGAGAGGATTTATGTCTAACATCTTTTGTCACCATCATGATTAGCATGGCAGAGTTCAGAGAAAACTAAAAAAAATAAACCACTGAATATTCTACTGTCATTAAAATATAATCCCATTGATGGAGAAGAATTATAGCATTCAAATCTTGGAAAGCAGGTGAAGATACTGGGTGATAAGAAACCCTAAGAAAAATTCAGGAGTACCGCTCAGGTTGGGGCATTTCTGTCTTAGAAAAGGAGCGAATAAAGGGTTCCACATTATCTTCCTCACATTCTATTAATTCCAGCAAAAATACCAACTCTTTAGGTGGCTCCATGCTAGCTATTCTAGGTATTTTTACATAAAATAGCTCATTGAATTATTTCAAATTTAACTCAAGTTATGTAATAATATCCATTTTGCAGATTAAGTTACAAAGGCTCAATTTCCTTATGCAAGTTACACTTACTGGTAGCGAGTAGTTAGCCTGGATTCTAATCCTAATATATCTAATCATAAGATGTCTTCCCATTCTATTATGCCTATATTGTCTTTTTAAAGACAACCAAGAATATAGAATGAAGAAGTTGTGGAGCAAGACTTAAGTGGAATAATGCAAAAGAACGGCTTCAGTCATAAAAACAAGGCAACTATTGTGTGCCTACCTCATTCCTAATACCAAAAACTAATTCAAGTTTGGTGTACAGACAGTTGCAATCTATTTGGAGAAGTGAAAATATCTTCCTTGTCTAGTTATTAATTTTTTAATGTTCCACCTGAACTTCATTAAATTTCTACTCTTCTGAGATGCTTGTTGTATCACTAGGAGTTGGCTTTGATGGAGTGTGTCACCCAATATCCATTGCCATCTGATTTATGATAAGATTTGTCAAAGAAAGCTGTGTGAGTCTCAGTCCTCGGAAAAAGAGACAGATTACAAATACAAGAATTTTGAAACCAAATAAAGAAGTGAAAGTGAAATACCTGTGTGGAAGAAAAAAGGAAACCGGGTAGGCTGGGAAAGACATATTAGAAAATTATCATTGGTCTCTGCTGCTGATGAGTTGGGTATTCAGTGGGAGTCCATGCTGTTGAGTTCACATGCAGCTTTCATCTCTGCCACCATGGTGACTATGTGCCACTTCTACAGCGGCTGATGATGAAGACTGGCTAATGTCAATTGGCTAAGTCATTTTATGTACTTAGTTGTCTTCTGATGTGGATGTGCTTTGGTATTTTGATAGTTATTAACATGTAACACAAAAGTCTTCAAATTTTATACCCATTCTCATATATTCACCACATGCCTTTGACCCAAACCTTCTTGCCTTCAATCTTTACTCCATTAATTTTTATAACCCCAACCAGGCGTCCAGGCTATTGGGCACTGTCCAGGCAATTTTATTCTCACCATAGGGCCACCATAGGGCCACTTCTTTCACTCAAAACCCATGGTTATTGCACTGCTCCACCCATGGGAAAGATTTTTTTCTCCACTGTTATTTGGGGCCAGCCATGCCTGAATGCAGCTGCAAAGCAAACTCCATCCATTTTCTTCTTGCACCTACTTTCCAAGATGGCCAATATTTAAACCTTATAACCTTATTCAGGCTTTTTTCTCTTCCTTGGTTGGTCATTCTAGACACCCTTTCTCCCTCCCCAGGTATAAGTGCAAACCCTGGAGAAGCACTAGTGCAACTCTGTTGAGTAATATGGGTGTCTGGACTTCTTCCTCCTGTAGTCTATTTGTGCCCTGTGGTCCCACTCAGGATCAATTCTGATGCATTCTTTACATCTAATGATGATCTGCTGTCTTCATAACTTGGTGCGCCTGACTTTATAACTTGGCAGGTCCGACAGTATCTTGGTCACTAGAGGAAGTTCTAGACAGATAGTCACTGCCTGATACATTGCTGTAAAATGAATTATCCCTAAACAAAGCAACTTAGAACAAACGATACTTATTATCACATAGAGTTGTTGAAAATAAGAAGTGTGGGAGCAGTTTGACAGGTGGTTCTAGTTCAGGTTCTTTCATGAGGTATGATATAAATATGTGGTATAATGATATAAATATACCAGGAGGCTAAAGTCATCTTAAGGCTTGAATGAGACGAAAGGATCCACTTCTAAGAATTTATACCCACATGACTGTTGACTGGAGGCCTTAGTTTCTTACCACATAAATCTCTCCATGAGGCTACTGCAGTATGCCCGTGGAAGCTGGTTTCCCCAAGAGTTATTAATCCAAGAAGAGAGAAAAAAGCTACAAAACCTTTTATGACCTATTCTCAGATACAATCTAGTGTCATGTCTGCCATTTTCTACTGGCCATGCAGAATAACCCTGATACGATGTGTAACCGGACTAAAAAAGGGCTTGTGTACCAGGAAGCATGAATCACTGGGTGACATCATGGAATCTGGTTACCAAAGTGTCTATGTTCAAGTAATTTTTCTCTTCCAAGTCTCGGTAATACACGAAGAGCTGTTTATCAAAAGACAAGCAAGCCTCTGCTGCAGTTAATATGGTCTTACTCCCAAATCCCAGGATTCTTCCTTGTGATACTGCTACTGGAATTTGCCATTAGTTCCATCCTGCATCTTGTCCCACAACTGATACCCAGTAACAGGTTTGCCAGATCATGTGGCCCAAGCAGCAGAGATAATTGCACAATGGCCTGGACCTGCTGCTCCTGGCCTCCAGTTAAAGTTACAGCTTCCTATGTCACCCACTATTTGAACTCAAGCAATTTTCCTATGTGTGGGATGTGTCACCCATACTCTAAAGGGTATTGTAAAGCTCTGTGCTTCTTTCTTCAGGGAGGTGCAGAAGAGTATGCAAAATACATCAATTTGACTTTTGGTTTTGGGGGATATCTTGGTATTTCCCTGATCCCTGCACCCTTAAAAACTTTACTAAAGTGGCTAGTTCTTGCATCTTAATAGGATTTGTCTCCTACCTCTGGAATGCATGTATCTGAGAAAGTCCTATAT